CAACTCTTTTGAAATCAATTGAAACAATATTCTGGGAAAATTCTTGTAGACCTAGTAATGAGGTACAATTAAGAAGTACATGACCTATCTGAAGTCATTTCTTATTAAGCTAGTCCTAAATTCAGGTTTAAGTAAATAGGGTAAATGTTTTACCATTACTACAATTGGTAGGACGGAGCATAAGATGCACTTATCAGCCAAGAAAATCAATAGTAGGATGGAGCATAAAATGCACCTATTAGTTAGCAATTCAAATAGTAGAATGGAGCATAAAATGCACCTACTCACCAAGTAATCCTAAAAGTGAGATTGAGCATAAAATGCACTCACTTCYACCAAGGAGAAAAAATAAAAAGAGAGAGAGAGAGTAAAAATGTTTTCCCTAGTTTACTACCTGGTTTGTAGTAGTAAAGAAGGGATTGGCTGATAGATGAGTTGAGTATAACTTGGTCGTGCTGACTTAACAGTTCGTAATAACCGACATAGGATATTTGTGGAAAAAGATGAAGGAAGATTGAGTTTAAAGTCTGGTAGAATAGTTTTCTTATTTTGCTTGAATTTTGTCTTGCCCGAGGACGGGCAAGGTCTAAGTGTGGGGGGATTTGATGAGAATGAAAATTATCATATCTTTATCCCTTAATATTCAATCTTTTATACTTATTTAGTGCCTAATTTGACTCATTATTCTTATATTTCGATTTAGGGTACGAAAGGAGGCGTTAGGTAAAAAAACAAGGCTAATCGGGTAATTTTGCACAGTTTCGACGCCGCGTGGTAATTTGGGAATCACTCTCCCATCCGGACTCCGACTGATATGATTCAAGAAGCATTGGAAAGAAAAGGAAAAGAACTACAACTTTAATATGTTTTGAGTTTTGATAGATTCGGACTCTATCAAAGTCAAAATCAGGCCCGAAGTCTGTAAATTCGTAGAGAGCCCCAGATTGCTGCAAAGCCCAATTCGCAGAGAAGCCCCAGTTYGCTGGAGAATTCCAGCCCAATTCAGCATGCAGTAGTAGGGCCCACTCATCATTCCTAATAGAATTCGTCTAAGAGTCTTAATTAGATCTGATTTTTATTGTAATCTTAAAAAAACAAAAGAGTTAGAGTCCAACTTAGTTAAGAGTTTCTATTTAGAGATAAGGATAAGATTAGATCTGAATTAAGCCTTATCCCAGTAAGAGACAAGACTTTCTATTTTTGAGAAAGAACTCCTAAGAGGAGTTGGAAGCAGCTCCTCCCCCTAAGGCTATAAAAAGGGGGGCGGACTAGCAAGGAGGAATCATCAAATCTTGGAAACAAGAATTCAGCAAGAAGGAAGAA